TCAAAACAAGTCACTATGAAGAACCGCTTTTTTCTGGACAATGTTCTGGTGATAGTGCTGATAGTGGTGACGATCTCATCGCAGCCTAAAACATACAGTGTGAGTCTGTCATGGACTCCCCTTTACTCTTTGCGATAAGACATTATCACTGTACTCGGACGTATCTTTTACTCTCTTTGTTCTCTCATTGCAGCTTCCACTCTCTGAATCACTCTCTTTGTTCTCTCATGGCAGTCTAAAACATACATACAGTGTGAGTCTGTCTTGGACTCCCTTTTCTCTTTGCGATAACAGACATTATCACTGTACTCGGACGTATCTTTTACTCTCTCTGTTCTCTCATTGCAGCTTTTACTCTCTGAATCGCTCTCTTTGTTCTCGCATTGCAGCCTGAACCATACATACAGTGTGAGTCTGTCTTGGACTCCCTTTTCTCTTTGCGAGAAGGACATTATCTCTTTGTTTTGTACTCAGACGTATCTTTAACTCTCTGAACCGTTCTCTTTGAGATGCCTTTTCCCTCTGTTGGTGCTTCCATTTTCTTCTTTTCAACATCTGTCTATATTGGATTTGGACAAATGGAAGAGAGCTCCATATTATAAAAATGATCTTGGCTTTTTATTTCAAAGAGTTGAAGTAATGATTGTGTCCAAACACTTGCCGTTTCAAGTCTCCGCTCAAATAACTTCTTCAGATCAATCATAACGTTTCTTAGTTGGCTAAGCTAATCAATCGTATTTAGGTGATTAGAAAAACTATTGTTTTCTTTTCTCAACATTTTTTTTTTTTCGTGGAGAGCTTTTTATATGCAATCTAAAGTATCCATAACGTGAATAGTAGTACATAAGTTCCATCCAAATAGCAGGGACGTAGCGTTTTTCCTTACTACAGTATAACAGTATAAATCATACAAAATTAATAGAGCGATTGAATGTGGTGTCAATTATGGTAGGGTTTCATTTTAACATGTGCTGTGATTTTTTCGTATGTGGGTTGTTAGGTAAACTTAACATTTTATTAGGTAACCACCATTATGTTAAACTTGTAAAATCCATTATCTATAGTGATTATTTCTCCTATATTTATAACTCGCGCATTGCCATATATTTTAATTTTAAATTGCTAACAACATGAATATCTTTCTCGTTCTTGATTTAAAGTATTTATGTATATGAAACATATTACGAAGCAATATACAACATAAATATTAGCGAGAATAACTTGGTTTTGGCTTTATATTTTACTTTTAGTGTTTTCGTGGGTTTTTAAATCAATACAGAAAATTGGATGAAAAAAATTGGTTTAAAAATTTTATCTTGGTTTAAAATTTTACGTATATGAAAAAAAATTACGAAGCGATATACAACATAAATACCCTCTCGATGATATTTTTTTTATTTTAAAAGCAACGAAACTCTATGGGGTCTAAATCTTTAAAAACCCAAAAATCAAATCTCAAATCAGTTATGCCCTTTTTTTTTTAATAAAAACGTGAGCAATTACAGATAAACCCTTAATGAATCAAAAATATACCACGATCCGACCCGAACCCAGAAATTATTATGTAAAATTAAAACAAACAAAAACAAAAACCGTAAACTGATTAATTCATTAATCAATCTCTTTGTAAAAAAAATCTCGCTCTCGACTTTGCGATTTCTCAGTCTCACCGTCGCCATCGCGTTCACCGTCTCCTTCGGTGTCGGTTCTGATTACTCCGTTTCTCCATCTCAAAAGTTGAAAGTAATCATGTAACGCCCGTGAACCAAAATGTGTATTTTTTTGGTGGTGCGTCGAGCGACGCAGGGGATGTGCGTCGAGCGACGCTAATCTTTAATCAGACCGGGAAGTCGGGTTTGATCGCACGGTTTGCGTGATGGTTTAGCGGAACCCTAGGGTTCGGTATAAAAGGCAGAAACAGTGTCCTGGCCGTTTTGTTGATCAGAAAAAAGAGAGAAAAGGTTTGGGAGGAAGAGACTTTGTTCTTGAGAGGTTCATGTGTGTGAACAGCTTCTGATCGGAATTTTGAGAGGGTAAACGGCTGGGCTATTCGTGGCGGATTGGAGTGATTTTTGGAGGATTGTTGTCTGTAATCAGTCGGGTTCAGAGGGGAATTCCGATCGAACCAGAAGGTCTGGAGGCGATCCGCATACCGACGCGTAGCTGTGTGTGTCTAGTTTCCAGAACAATCGCCTGTTTCGGAATGGGACCAGTAGTTCGTCGTGTACGAAGGTTTTAGTGAACGTCATTCATTCTTTTCATTTCGATCCTTCGAG